CAGAGAAGGAGGCTGAGCTGGACAGTGCACGTGAGGAACTGCGATTGCTGCGTGAGCAGTGCGATAGTAGCTCTGCAGAGAGGCAGACGGCACTGGAGAGTGCGTTCCAGGAACGAGAAACCTTACAGCGGGAGCTAGACGGCGCACGTGAGGAACTGCGGTTGCTGCGTGAGCAGTTTAGTAGTACCTCTGCAGAGAAGCAGGCTGAGCTGGATACTGTGTTGCAGGAACGTAAAGACGTTTTACTTGAATTAAAGCGGGCGTTGCGGCAGCGCGAGGAGACGCAAGAGGAACTTGAAAATGCACGTAAGGAGCTAGAGTTACAGCGGGAACGGGCGAGTATTACTATTGTGGAGCAGCAGGCTGAACTGAATAGTGCATTGGAACAGCGGGAAAAAGTACAGAAGGAACTTGAGAACGCATTACGCGAGCGTGAGGAAGTTCGACGTGAATTGGATATCGCACTCGAGGAACTGAGGGTATTGCGGGAACAGTCTAATAGTAGTTCTGCTGAACAACAGGCCGAGCTGGAGAGTGTAGTGCAGCAACGAGGAGAGGTTCAACGTGACTTAAATGCTGCCCATGAGGAATTGGAGAAGGTAAAATATGAGCTGGAGGAGTTACGAGAGGAACGTCAGGTTCTTAACGAACGTTGTGGTGAACTTGAGAAGAGATGCCAGGCTGCTCTGGATGAGAAAGAGAGCGACCTGCGTACCTTTGAGGAGAAGCTGTTGGTGTGGAAGGAGAAGGTAAAGGTGGCCAAGGCGAAGGACGACCAGAGGATTGAGGGTCTCGAGGCGCTGACGGCTGCCCAGCGGGGGGATGTGGAGGGGTTGGCCGCCGTCCTCCGCCCCCTCCTCGCCGCCCTCGGACTCCCGCCGCCGGACCCCGCGCCGCTGCCGGACGGCCGACTTGACGTTGCGCCGCTGCTCGAGTCCCTCAACGGGGCGCAGGCGGCAGTCGCCAACGGCACGGCGCGTGTCACCGCACTTGAGACGCAGTTGCACGATGCAGAGGAGAAGTGTGCGGCCGCAGCGGCCCCAGAGGTGGTGACAGAACTTGAACAGCGTAACGCACAGCTAGAGGAGAAGTGCGAGCTTCTTCGGAAGGAGATTAAACGACAAAGAGAGGCCTTCCAGAGGGAGAAGGCACAACAGGATATCTCAACCGCAGGGACGCGGGAAGAGGGGCGTGCTACACTACGCGCAGCAGCAGGAGGTGTGTTTGAGAAGGACATGCTTTCATTAGCAACACAACAAAGTCAACGCGATAATGAAATTCGCCAATTGCGTGCTCAGCTCCAGACGCTGGAGAAGGAGAATGCGGAACTGAAGAGAGAATGTGATCATAATAACTCTGTATTGGCACAGTACACAAAAGATATTGAGGTTCTTAAGGCCAAGGAGCGAGTTCAGCTTAGTATTGAATATGTGCGTAATGTTATACTTCAGTTCCTTTGTTGCCCAAATGAAACTGTTCGGTTGCAAATGGTACCGGCAATAGCTACTGTGTTGGAGTTTACCCCAAAAGAAAAAATGGAGGTGCAAAGTGCTAATCCTGCATGTCCCCGTTTTCATTAAGTGAGCGAAAGAAAGAAAGAGACTAGCTGTATATAGTTCTACATATATATTTTTTTCTCTATGCGGGTGGTGTGTGTGTGTGGTCGATATTGCTTAACCCATAAAAATAAAAAAATGGTTGCATTAAAAAAAAAAAAAATTATTTGTACTTTTTAGTTTGTTTTTTTTTTTTGCTGTATTTTTCTCCTTCTACTCTTTCTCCCTTTTCTTGATCCCATGCGAACACACACACACACACACACACACATATGAAAAAAAAAAACGACAACGACAACAGCGGTGTTGCCCTTAACTGCACTTAAGTCCTACAAATGGTAAAACGGGACCTGGAGAAGGAAAAGCAGATGGAGCTTGCTGCGATTTGGGGAAGCGAGACAGACGGTGATCTTCGCTACCCGCGACGACGTCGTGCAGCTGCGAAACGGCCGAACGCTATTTCTACTACTTCTGGTTCTGGAAACGAAGAGGTTGAAGATGATCATCTTTCTGACTTGGGAAGTGATGCTATCAGTGAAGATCGTGCCTCAGATATCGCCGCACAGAAGAGTAAAAAGGCTAAGAAAAATAAAAAAACGAATACTACTTATCGACTCCATTGTTTCATTGAACCTGGAACAGAGAAAAATGCAGTACGTACTGTTTTTGAGGCGTATGAACCGAAGGTGGAGTTAAGAACATCACAGAAGGGCAACTTGTTGAACAAAACGCACTATGCGGTGCTGACATTTCGAAATAAAGCCATGGCTTTACATGCTGTGAAGGTGCTGGATGGTACTAATCAGTATGATTTGCTTGGGGTGAAAGAGTTGAAGTTGCGACTTATGCTTTCGAGGAAGGAGCACAATGCTGCTCGGCAAAAGATGCGTAAACGTCTGCGTGAAGAACGTGGACGTCAGTTGATGGAAGAATCTAATGAGGACGCGGAGTTTATCAAAAATTTTCTTGCGACTTATGCCCCATCGGTTAAGAATAAAGAAGAGACGCAAAAATGAGTGAATTTTGTGTACACAATTATATACATATATAAAAATAATTATTTTGTGCAACTATTTTTAGTGGTCATCTGAGTAAGGGTAAAATGTATTCTCTCTGTTGAATCAAAACGGGTTGTATCTGTGATGTGTCGCTGTTTTTTTTTTTTTTTCTTTTGTTTTCTCTTTTATTTTTGTTTTATTTTTTTTTTTTTCGAAGGATGAAATCAGTAGCTCCACCAATGGTTGCAAATTCCACGGCGGAGCAAGTATACGAGTACTTGAAAAAAGTTGCTCCGCTTAACAAACTTGCGGGAGCTGTTCCAGTAACATCAGTGCGGAAATATATTGGTGCACTCGATGATGATCACATGTTCCATGGTGAAGGAGTTCTTATTTCAGAAATGGGCTTCCGCTTTGAAGGTGTTTTTCAACATGGGAGTATGGAGGGACACGGAAAGATTACATGGAGTAGTGGTATCACGTACGAAGGTGAGTTTAAAAATAATGCTCCAAATGGTAAGGGTATTTTTACATGGGTAAATGGTGATAGATATGTTGGTGAAGTGAGAGATGGTGTACGATATGGTCATGGAGAGTTATCAACCGCAGATGGAGTTTATACTGGAGAATGGGTCCGAGGAAAGCGACATGGTATGGGACGTCAAACATACGCTGGTAACTCTTATTATGAAGGTGAATGGATAAAAAATAAACGAAATGGAAAAGGAAAATTAATGTATCCCAATGGTGATTTGTATGATGGAATGTGGCATGATGATAAACGAGAAGGTTTTGGGACGATGGGATGGAAGTTTGGTACAGGACACTATGTTGAAGTGTATGAAGGTGAATGGCGTGATGGCATTCCATTTGGTTTTGGAAGATCTACATATGTTCACTATATTAACCCTGAAAATGTACCGCAAGATGCTGGAAGTTTAGAAGATTTTGCCCCTCCTGTTCATTCTGTTCTTAATGTTTATGTAGGAGAATATGTAAATGGTAAACGTCATGGATTTGGTATCTTTTACTACGCAGATGGAAGTGTTTACGAGGGTGAATGGTGTAATGGTAAGAAAGAAGGACATGGAAAGTGTACAACGAATACTGGTGTCTCACACTATGATACTTTCCATGGGAATGAAGCAGAGGAACAGCTTAAAGTAACGGATACCTCAAATTCTTTACCTGAAGTTAGATTAGCAGATATTATTGGAGTTTCAGATAATTCTTTAGATGAAGCTACTTCTGCCATAAGACTTTTACTACTACGTTTTAATAATACTCTCAAAGATTTGTTCTATGCATATAGTGAAAAGAATGAAAATATTGCGCTTATTACTACTCCAAATGATTGGTGGAAACATCGTACCCCAAGTCACATATTCATTCCACAGTATCTTCGTTTATTGAATGATGCACACATCATAAATGGGAAAATAAGTATCGCTGATGTGATTGACTGTGTTGCAGTAACCATTGAAAAAGAAAAGGCTTCTGAAGAAGAAGAAAAGGAAAAAAGAGAAAAAGATGAAGAAGATGAAGAAGAAAAAGATGAAACAAAAGATAATCCTTGGAGTATGCAAATGCGGAAACTCCGAAATGATGTATTGAATCTACAAGGATATCTAAATTATAGACAATTTGCAGAATCCCTTGTTCGACTCTCCGCTATTGCTTGCATTGGTTATAATATTGCAGAGTTATCAAAACGTTTTTCAACATTTATGGAAGGTTCACTCACAAAGGAAAAGTTCGTGGATGAACCTTTGTGTCCCCTTACAAGAGAGTGGGAAACATTTTTAATTCCCCACTTAAAAGCTCTGGAGGCATTATTTCAACGAATGTCATTAAATTCTCAAGTGGTACAAGGTAACACAAGTGCTCCTTTAGATGTTCGAACCTTTATTGCATTCTTTCGTGGTTTATTTAATAAGTATGATATTGGTTTAACAGAAGCTGTGAATTCTCTCTTCCCATTTGACCAATTCAAAACACCAGGTCTAGTACCCTCTGCTGTTTGTCAACCACGTAATGCTTTAGGGCTTTGTCTGTACGAAAAGAGTTGTGGACCTAATGGAGTATTTGTTGCGGCGTTAGTAGCATCGGAGCGACGACTGACGTTTGTTGAGTTTATTGAGGCTATATTGGGTGTGGCGCTTCTTATCGGTGCAACCAAAGAGGAAGAGATGGAGGAGAAACTTGTTGAGATTTTAGAAGTGCAGAGCACTGAAGTTGTGGTGACGGATTAGTTGAAGATGTAAAAAAAAAAAAAAGAAATGGAAACAACAAAAAAAAGAAAAAAAAAAAAAGAAACTGTGGTAATTCACAAGAAAAAGAATAAAATTCTTGATTTTGTTTTCATGGTTGTAGATTTGTATATATTTGATTACTCCTCATGTGTCACCTGTGGATAAGAATTGGGAGTGATTCTGTCGTATTTGGTGATGTATATTGTAGGTAGCGCTTCTTCTTTTTTTTTTTTATCACTATTCTTTAACGAATGAAAAAAAAAAAAAAATACAAAATAATACAAAAAATAATATTTCTCCTCTTCTTTTCTTCTTTTTTTTTTTCTTCCCCATACTGTAAATAATTTATTTTCTGTTAAACCTATAGTTTAAAGTATTTACGTTGTTGATATTACATTTTCTTGTTTATTATGGGGCTTGACATTCAGTTATTCCGGGATGAGAAGGGAGCGGATATCATCCGTGAATCACAGCGTCGTCGCTTTGCAGATCCCGGTGTTGTCGACACTGTACTTGAGGTAGATAAGAAGTGGCGACGGACACTTTTTTTAACAGAAGCCAGCAACAAACTTATTAACGCCTGCAGCAAAGCTGTTGGAGCGAAGAAGAAGGCAAAGGAGGGAGATGGTGATACATCTGAAATTCCTGAGTCTATCAAGGAAGCTTGTACAGAAGGGACTCTCACTGTCGATCAGGTAAAAGATCTCTGTGTACTGCAACTAAAGCAACTCTCTAAAGATTTATCTGAACAGGTGGCAAGGCTCGCAAAGGAGACAGTTGCCCTTGAAACTGAACGTGACAGTCTTGTATTAAGTGTTGGAAATATCATTCACGAGTCCGTTCCAATAGCACAGGATGAAGATACGGGTAACACAGTTGTGCGTACTTTTGGTGATGTTACAAAACGAGCGAAACTCAACCATGTTGCTATTATGGAACGTCTTGGTATGATGGATACAACTAAAAATGTTACTTCCATGGCCGGTGGACGATCCTATGTACTGAAGGGAGGACTTGTTCAGTTACAGGTAGCCCTTTTGTCGTATGGATTGAACTTTCTCGTTAACAAAGGCTACACCCCATTTTACCCACCCTTCTTTTTAAATAAAGATGCCATGGCAGGAGTAGCACAGTTATCACAGTTTGATGAGGAACTCTACAAAGTAACGGGTGATGGTGATGAGAAGTATCTTATCGCTACAAGCGAAATGCCTATAGCGGCTTACCACCGTGGTCGGTGGTTTACAGAACTGAAGGAGCCATTGAAGTACGCTGGTATGTCAAGTTGTTTCCGCAAAGAAGCCGGCGCTCACGGTCGTGATACACTTGGGATTTTCCGTGTTCATCAATTTGATAAAATTGAACAATTTTTCGTTTGTTCTCCCCGTGAAGAAGAGTCATGGCGTCACCTGGAAGAGATGATCCGCACCTCTGAGGAGTTCTGTGAGAGTCTCGGACTCCCATACCGCACCATCAACATCTGCTCCGGTGCTCTTAACAACGCTGCAGCGAAGAAGTACGATCTGGAAGCGTGGTTCCCCGCCTCTGGGGCATTCCGCGAGTTGGTCTCATGCTCCAACTGCACAGACTATCAGGCGCGTGGGGTGAACTGCCGCTACGGCGCTAATCTCCGCGGTGTTGCCGCTAATAATGTGAAGGAGTACTGCCATATGCTGAATGGAACACTCTGCGCTATTACCCGCACAATGTGCTGCATCTGTGAAAACTACCAGACAGAGGAGGGTGTTATTATCCCAGATGTACTCCGGCCGTACATGATGGGCACGGAGATGCTCAAGTTTGTTGAAAACCCTGAACCAACGGCAGAATCGGCGTAGAGAAGGATAAACAAGAAGAAGAAGAAGAAGAGGGGAAAAAAGAAAAAGAAAAACTTAAAGTTCTTTGGCCAAAAAAAAAGGCAAATGGAAAGACAAAACCAATAAAACAAAAAAAAAAAAAGAAAAATGCGCAAAAAAAAAAAAAAAAAAAACATTAATGCACAAAAAGTGAGAGACTGAGAGAAAGTAGAAGAGGAGGTGGATTTGGAGAGGAGTTAAGGGAACAAGACAGTAGTGATCTTCGATCAACGAAAAAATTTCCTTTTTACTTGCATCTTGAACATTTTACATAAAAAAAAAAAAAAAGACCCGACTGACACGACACGGAAGTAAAATTCATTCAAATCCCTTTTTCTTTTTTTTTTGCATTCTGGAGTAAATTATATTAAAAGGCTGGTTTCTCTTGAATATCACTCCCTTTTTTGTTTCTTTTTTTTTCTGTATGAGAAAGACTTTTCTTTTTTCTTGAAATTGATTGAATGCAGATTCTATAGGAAGTCTCAATACCCCACTCCCACACCCCACTTCCAAAAAAAAAAAAAAAAAAAAAAAAAACAGAAAAAAGAGAGAGAGAGAGAGAGAAGAAAGAAGAAGGAATGGAGCAGGACTGTGAAAGTGGTTTTCTAGAACCACCAAGCGGAAGATTTGATCTATCTCCGCATGGAAAACTAGAATCAGATGCAAAGGCGTTTAAAAAAGCTGCAGTTGAGCGTTTTGTTAATGGGCTTGTGTACGTAGAGGGACAGGTGATAACGCAACCGGGACATTTATCAGATTCAATTGTGCGCTCACTGAAAGATCGTTTTAAACGAATAGTTAAAATAGGTCAGGGAAGTTTTGGAGAGGTTTATATTGTATATGATACGGAAACGAAAATGCATCTTACTATGAAACGTATGGAACTCCTTCACGGTGCTGGAAGACGTGTCATAGGTTTGTGTAATACAACTTCCCGTGAATTGAATTTATTGCGTATGCTAAAACATGAAAATATTGTTGAATTATTTGACTATCACGTAGTACCAGATGGAACATTAGTTATGTTAATGCCTGTTGTAGCTTATGATCTTGTATCATTGATTCGTTTGTGGCGAAATGGTGGTCCTCGTGGGGAACCCACTACAGGTCGTATGCCACTTTCAACCATTAAATGTATTTTTCGTCAACTTCTTACAGGATTGGCTTATCTACATAGGGAGCGAGTCATGCACCGTGACCTAAAACCAAGTAATGTAATGATTGATGAAAAAGGTGTAGTGAAAATTATTGATTTTGGATGGGCCCGTTTTTGTCCTCCAAAGTGGCGCGGTCCAATGACAGGACCTCCTTGTCCGGTATGTTATCGACCACCAGAAGTACTTCTTGGTGGACGACATGCTGTAAGTTATGATGCCACTATAGATATTTGGTGTTGTGGGTGCATTCTATTTGAAATGCTTTCGGGTGGAAAGATGTTTATCAACGCACGCAGTGAAGCGGAGGCTGTAGCCGCCATTATTGATTGGCTTGGCTCTCCATCCTCTAAGAGTACATTGTACTATGGAAATCCTGATAAATCTCTCATAAGCTTCAAACAACACCGTCCTAAACGTCTGGAGCATCGCTGTGAATTGATGCATATTGATAAAGATAGCGTAAGTTTATTGAGTGAAATGCTACAATTAGAACCAAAACGAAGGAAATCAGCTGAAGAATTGCTGAATCATTCATGGTTTTCTTCCGCCCCTGAGGCGTGTAAACCACATGAGATATCGCTTCCTAGGTACAATATGTATAGGTGGTTGGAATCTAGACGTTCTCTTTAATTCTGGACTAAAGAATAAGAGAATGAAAGGAAAAAAAAAAAAAAAATCACCAAGAGGAGAAAAGAAGAAAAAAGGAAAAAAAAAGAAAAGAAGTGGGTATAACCAAGAATAAGGGTTATAATTTCTTGGTTTTTACAGCCTTAATGACCAAAAAAAAAGAAAAAAAAAAATGACCCTATATTTCTTTGCCTTAACTTACCTCTCCTTCCTCTTTTTTTTTCTTTTTATTTGCTGTTGTTCCATCTTTGACCTTTTTCAAGGAAGTTACGGAAGAAAAAAAGAAAAAAAAGGTTAGAGCGTACTCTTCCTATACTTTGTCTTTACTACCTGCGCATTCTTTTTTTTCCTCTTTCGTTTTGATTTGTCAGTTATTATTATTATTATTATTATTATTATTATTTTTTTTTTTTTTTTTTTTTTTTTTTCTGTTCTTACCTTTTATCATTACATATATCCCAAATCTGCTGGTGTCTTTAGGCGTATCTTCATGGATGGGCCAGAATCAGACGCCGATAGTTGGCGTGAACATTATTTAGACCTCTTTGCTGATGGAGAAACACGAGGTGAAAGGGGAAAACAGAGTTGTTTTGTGACCCGTGTGGAGATGTTTGAGAGACTGCAAGATGATCCATCACTAAATGAAATTATTAATGAAATACATATTTACACTGAGCCACTGGCTTCATGGGGACCCCTTACATTTCTGGCAGGTGATCACTACTTTGCTGTTATTGAGACACAAAACTGGTGGTGGTCTATTGAATTGCGAGATGATATGATTGTCATTCAACGTGGGAAAGACTTTACAAATGTACAAAGTAGATGTCAAGGGCGGTATCGTCGCTATCGGTTACTTCATAATGGACCTTCTCTTGTTTGTAATTCTTCGTGTGGTCAACGATATGTTCGAGATCTTGTTTTAGCAATATACAATAAGGGATATTTTTCTGGTGATCTTATTTCCCCTAGTTCACATTCACACGCTCTTGTTAATTTCATTTGGCTTTTTTGTCGCTCTCATTAGTTAGAAAAAGGCCAGCCATAAGCGTGGTTTTACAGGTGTTGGTTGGTTTTTTTTTTCTTTTTGCTTGTTTATTCAAAGAACCTCCGTTTTTGAATGCTAGAAGAGAAAGAATAAAAAAAAAAAAAAATCTTAATGCATCTGCTTCCTCTTTTTTTTCTCTCTGGGGTGGGAGTTAAAATTTTTTTTTCTTTTTTTCTGCGTCTATATTTCAAAGAGTTTAATGCCCTTTTTTATTTTGGTTTTACTTGCTTTGTTTGTTGTTCTTTTTTCCTTTTTTTTTTTTAGTGCTTTCCTTACTACTGTCTTGGGTGGTCTTGCTCTTTGTGGTTACTCTCTCTTCCTTGCCTGTTGTGTCTCTAATCTCTTGTTTGACTTAACGTAATAATGGTAAGGGGAAGAATTACTATTTTTATAAACTGTATATATACATACATACATACATACATACATACATACATACATACATACATACATACATAAACGATGACTTCTCTTATTAAGCGAGTGGCGACTATTATGAACGAGATTGCACCACTGCGTCTCGCTGACCATTCATGGGATAATGTTGGGGTTCTAGTGGAGTCTCCTCAGAGCAATAACTCTGGTGTTGTTCTTTTAACAGTAGATCTAACACCTGAAGTAATGGAAGAGTGTCTGAAGCATAACGTTGAGGTGGTGGTAGCATATCACCCACCTATTTTTTCACCCTTTAAACGTCTCCAATTAAGTAATCCAAAACAGAAAATAATCCTACAGACTATTCGTCATGGAGCCTCTATTTACTCTCCTCATACCTCCTTGGATGTGACGGCAAATGGTATCAACGATTGGCTTGCTTCTATCGTGGATGCCAAAGGTATTACTTACCCTATTCAACCTACTGAAGAAGAAAGTAACGATGCTAATACATCTGTAGGGAATGGTCGTATTGTTAAACTTTCTAATCCCAAACAAATGAGGGACTTAGTGAATGATATTAAAACTGGTTTAGGTATACCTACTGCTCGTGTATCGCTACCAGATAATTGGAATGAGAAGACACCTATTCACTCTGTGGCTATCTGTGCAGGAAGTGGTAGTGGTGTATTTCGTTTACTAAAGGAAAAGGTGGACGTTCTTTTTTCAGGAGAGATGGGTCATCACGATGTACTTGCTGCTAATGCTGATGGAAAGGCCGTTATCTTGTGTGAGCATACCAATACGGAGCGAGGTTATCTGAGAGCAAAACTACTCCCAATGCTTCAAGAAAAACTTGGTAATGATATTCGTGTTATTGTATCCGCAGTGGATAAAGATCCTCTTGTTATTTGGTGAAAGGTGTAAGGAAAGAAAAGGAAAAAAAAGAAAAAAAGAAAACAGTAACCAATAAAATATTGGAGGACACAGTGAAAGAAAAAGGTGAAAATGGTGATAACCAGGATGGCATGTGTAGTATATATATATATATATATATATATATATAGTGTTTGGATGTCTTTTTCTCAATATGAAGAAGAAAAGGAAAAAAACAAAAAAAAGTACTATTTCATTTATTCTTTTATTGCGCATACATAGGCTTTTTTTTCTTAGAGAATATATATATATATATATATATATATATAGATATAGATATATATTTATATCTAGATTTACTTGTTAACCAAAGAAGAGAAGACATTCAGGGTATTATTTTGTTGCAATTTTAGGAGAGAGGAATAAAAAAAAAAATTAATAATAATAAATAAATTTTAAGAATGAACGTGGCCCTACTCAAGGATATTGAAGAGACACGCCGATATATAGATGAGTGTTATTTACAGGATCTTGGACGACTGGAGGCGGCACGTAGCATGTTTGAGCAGCACTTCAGTCGTCTAGATAGCCTTATACGTGACAGTACAAACCCCCGACATGATGAAGGAGGGGAAATTCGCGTGGATACTCTATTGGCTACACCATGCCGACAGACGTACAATAGTGATGACAAAATATTGGCTACACCTTCTATGGCATCACCACCCATAAGCCGTGGAACAATCAATTATGATCGTTTTCTGGACGAGGTTACTTGTGGGGCATTGGCATCTACTTGGCCAAATCGCCTAAACAATGAGACAGATGCGGATACTCGCAAGCGACCAACGCTGGAATCTATTCCTGAAGGAGCACGTAATCGTTCACCCCCGAAGGATCATAGCGCACCTTGTCAAGTCCTTGTAGTATTTAAGCGTAAGCGTATTTTGCAATTTGAGTCCCCCACGTATGTTTCTCCCGGCGAGTATGTTGTGGTGGGTGGAGATCGCGGAGAGGATATTGGCCTCGTGACCCACTCGAGAACACTCGGCGAGCACAACTACGATGGTGAGAAGAAATGGGCGGAGGGCGTCGGCCGCGTACTGCGAGTCGCCACTGCGCTGGAGGTCTCGCAGCTGCAGGGCGTGCAGACGGAGTTGGAGGAACGCGCCGTGGAGGTGGCGCAGAAGAAGGTGGAAGAGCACCGTCTCCCTATGTGCATTGTAGATGCGGAATATCAATTCGATCGCAAAAAGCTCACTTTTTACTACCGTTCTCAGCAGCGACTTGACTTCAGGACACTCGTGCGGGATCTCTATAAAACATTTCGAGCCCGCATTTGGATGGAGCCAGAGGTGCCATCATAGGAAGGGGTTATAGTTCAGCAGGCTGTATATATATATATATATATATATATATATATATATATATATTATATACTTCGTTATTTATGTCACTTTCTCTCTCTTTCTCTCTGTGTGTGTGTGTGTGTGAATTGTGAGGTGTGGCTTCTGAAAGATCTGAGGATTACACGCTTGTTTTGGAGAATGTAATAATAAAAAAAAAATGTATTCATGTTATTTCTTGCTTTAAATTGCTCTTTTGTATCTGGATTTATTATTTGCAAAAAAAATATATATACATGTCTTTTTATACCATTCTCTCCTACCAAATCTTTATATACGATAATCGTAACACTAAATAAGGGTACAAAGGTATACACCCACATCATATACACATATACACAAATACACCCATAAACGTTGATATCAATATACCTTTTTTACCCAAGGACGTAAGTACGCCTTCAGTATTGTATTGTTATCATTATTACTATAATTATTTGTGCTTATATTGGGTATACGGTCTAAGTGATCTACTGAAAAAGGTGATATATTGTGGATAGTGGGTGAGAAAGGAGAGTGAGAGAGAAAAAAAAAAAGCGGTATTGTGTGAAATGAGTTTTTATCAAAAGGAAAGTAGAAGAAGTACTATCTCCCCCTCACCACCTAGAGATAAACATTCTTTTCATCATGATCCTATGGAACCTATAGATGATACAGAAGAACTTGTACGTATTCGCTCATCTCAAATTGATAAAGAACGTTTAGGACTACTAACACCCACGCGTAATGCTGCTAATTATCGTGGTGAAACATCAGATGATTATTTTGAGCATATTTTTCAGGAAGAACGTGAACTTCGAGAAAGGGAACTTGCATTAGCTCAAGAGAAGGAATATTTGGCACACAACCTTAAGCAACGACTTTCACTCCTTTTGTCTGATCCAGAGGAAGAAATAAGAAGTGGAAGCACTTATTCTTCTAAAAAATCTTCACGACGAACTGATACGGATAAACTACAATACGACAATGTCAACTACAAATTCCCAGATGTGGGTGATGGTATGAATCGTATAAGTGCATACGTTAGTGGTAATTGTGGTAGTGCTAGTGGTAATACTAGTGGTATCCATCCCCGCAGTGATTATGGAATTTGTCTTCGTGGTGTTTCTCCTGTTCTCTCTTCTCAACGGCCACCTCCTCCTATTATGCGTATTCAGCCACTGCAGTCTCCTTCTCCCCCCGCTGGCATGATATCGCGACTGCAGCAACGACAGCCGTTTACTTTACAACAACGAATAAATCGTACCAACGCAGGAGTACAAACAGAACCAGCTACGGAGGAACCCACAGGTGGTAGACCTCTCACTATTGAACGTGATGAAACATACAGTAAACGGATTCCTTCACCACAACATGGGGCTTCATCCACATCAAGTCTGAGTCTCCCATGTGAAAGTGAAGCATCCTCAGTAGAAGGAACAGCAGAGACACGTTCTGGACATGAACGTGAGAAGACAAAGCCTAGCAATACACCTAAATTAAAAGGTAAAAAGAAGTTGGCTCATAAACCTACAGAGAAAGGAATGCTAGTAGATATCTCCAATAAAAGTGTTGGAAGAGAAGAAGTAGGAACAAAAAGTCCTTCTCAGCAAAATGAAAGAGGAAGAAGTGTAGAGACAACATTGTTGTATAATGATAATATGCAAACTCCTCCACCTCCAGTAAATGAAACAGTGGTTGAAGGAAGTCATACGAGTCATAAGGTTTTATCACCTATGCCGCATCTTAACAGGGATTCAAAAGGAGTTATTGTCTTTTCATCTACTCCAGTGTACACACACCAGATATCATTGTCACCACATTCAGGAAGTCACAGAGTAGATGCAAATGAGAGTAGAACTACTACAGTGTCAGTAAACCGTGAAAACCAGAAGAATAATAACACTAAGAATACTAACTCTAATAAAAAAAGTAGCACCACCAGTTACAAAAGCACTAGTGGTAATCAACAACCATCCACTCAATATGGTGTAGAAGCTATGACCTTTGAGCCATCAATCACTTCTCCTCGAACAGCACCATGGTATATTCCCACATCTAGAGTTCTAGAGCACTCAGAATTCAAAAACCTCCTCTGCGGTAATTGGATGCCGCCACCGCCGCAGTCTGTAAATGTAGAGGAAACTCACCCAACAGATCCTCCAACGGAACAGATGGAGGATGTACCTATTAATTCTCCATCTGATATTAAGGAAGCCTCTCTTCCCCCCATGTCCCCTGCTGAAATGAGGCAAGATGCTACACCAGAAGCAGCAGATTATATTGTACAGTTTCCTCATCTACCCGATATGCCACCACCAGGGAAGCAACGAAAGAGAAAGTGTCACTGTAAATGTTGTGGAGGCTGTGGTGGCTGCAGTCACTGTGGTCGCTGTGGAAATTGTGATAGCTGTGGTCACTGTGGACGCTGTGGAGACTGTGATGGCTGTGGTGGCTGTGGAGGCTGTTGCTCATTTTGGCCCTGCTTTCGTTTTTCTCGTCACTTTCCATTCCTAAAGTGTGGAAAGAAAAAGAAGAAAAATAGAGGAGGAAACGTGTAATGTTTTGACTCCAGGTTTTTTTTTTTTGGAATTTGATGGAAATAAAAAAGAAAAAGGTAACGTATATATATATATATATATGTTTGTATATCTGTATATCTGTGTATGTTTGTGTTGGTATTTATAATATTGTATAATAAGGGTTTCGAACTGCTGTAGATATTAAACAAGAACAACAACAACAAAAAAAAAAAAAAATAGATCTGAAAGCGTAATGTTGACAACTAAATATAGTTTACTGAGTTAAAGAGAAAAAAAAGAAAATAAAGCCTTTTTTTCTCATTCTACTCCATCCCTCTCTTTACCTGTACGCATATATTTCTGTATTCAAAGAAATAGCTACTCCCCTCCTCTCTCTGTCTCTCTCTCTCTCTCTCTCTCTCTCTCTCTCTCTAATTTTTCTTCTCTTTTGCTCTCTCTCACTCCCTTTGTTCATTTTTTTTTTTTTTTTCCACTTTTGCTCCTTTTTTTTTCTTATTTATTTTCTATTATTACTTCTACAAGTCTTTCGCTTGAGTACTTTGAAGTGAAGATGGAATCAGAATCAGATACTGAAGAGAATGAAAAAATACAAATAATTTTGCGCGATATGTGTGATAGTCCACATGTTCTTTATCGCACAGAACAACCTTTGCGTCTTTACAGACATGGCAAGCAAAAGAAAGTACATCTTTACGCAACAGCTTATCATGTTTATTTAGTCAAGGCCAAAAAAGTAACTTTTTATGCTAGGTGGCCTAATAAATTGCTGACAGTAAGTAGTGTTCAAAATACTCTCTTTATTGGAAAGTCTGATTCTACAAAGGATATTCAGACAAATGTTTCTACACGAGCTGTTTTGACCGCAGAGAAAGATGAAGGTAATGACTTTAGCTCGGTAAAACTTGAGGGATTATCAGCGAAAGAAGTAAGAGATATTGAGGACCGGTTAACGGAACTTTCCACCACTGCACGGATTTTGGCAGATACTCTCGAAAGGGAGGAGGAACATCCTTCAGAACATCAAGAATCATTTTCAAAAGAAAATGATGAATGGGGTGAAGCTGATAGTGAGGGCAGTGAAGATGAAGGTGGTCCATTGTGGGAACAGCAACAACAACAACAACAACAACAGCAACAACCCATATTGCAAGATCAACAACAGAGACGATCACGGGATGTAGAGTTGAATAGTTTGTTTGAGAAGGCTCCCTCACGATATCTCGCCGTAACATCATTAGTAGATGGAGAATTTACAGATTATAGTACATTAAAAAATGCTTATTTGCGTAATGAAGAAGATATTCTACTAGAGGATCTTGCAGCATTTATAAATGAAAATGAGGGACAAGTAGAAAAATTATGTGAACGCCATTACCCTGCTTTTCTTCATGCAGCACGACAATGTACATCTATTTCAGAACAAGATGCTGAGTTAGTTGGTCAAGAACTTGGAGGAGCCACTGCGCTTGCTCGTTCTTCTGTAATGGAAATGAAACGAGCAGCGGCAGAACTTAATCTATCAAGATGTATAAGAGAAAATGTGGCACATGTTTGTACATTATTACATGCATTATTAGAAATAGCTGAACATCTTGAGATGGTAGAAATGCGTGTACATAAACGTCAACTTCTTGGAGCTGTTGTATCATTAAAACAATTACTACGAGTAGCAACTCCAATGTCTGAATACGCTCTTGGAGAATATGTAGTTCATCATCGAGTACCACAAATGGCACAAGATATTTTTACAGCTGCGGTACAACAATTAAATGCATGGTTAAAACTTTTACGTGAACTTTCTCGTCCTATCGGAATAGCTGCACTTACATGGGAGGGATCTGTAAGAGCTGGTTCTATTGAAAAAAAACTAGAGGTAACAAATGAAGGAGATTGGTGGGTTGAGTCAACTTGTTCAAGAGCATTTATTAAACGTGCACCTTTTGCAGAATCAGCAGGTATAGAAGATATTTTATATGGAGCATCATTACAAGAAGTATTTGAGGAACTTCGACGTGGTACATATTATTGTAATTATTATGCTGAAAGTCGTGGTCAACAAGCAAAATTAGATCTTTATGAACCTTTTTTTGCAGGAGAAGGACTCTCTGGGGAAGAACTTGTTGCTGAGTTACAACGTTACTGTGAAACTTCGCTGGGATTTTTACTTATTGAAGATATTGTACATCATGCTACAAAACCACATATACAATCATCATCAGAAATTCTTTCGATGTGGGATCGTTTATCACAGTCTATGGCTGATCGGGCTCGACGTGTATCAAGTTTACTTTCTAATGATCCCAATTATACAGCACGTATGATGGATATATTTCGTTTATTGCGTCAATTTCTAAATGTTGCAGTTGATCTTGTTAGTTCGGTTAGACTTAGCCCACTTACTCTTTCACTTGTAGTAGAAGCTATGAGTGATAATATTATAAGTTCATGGTTACAGGAAGCATGTATGGAAGCTACACAAGCAGTCCTCACAGATACTCTTGTTCCTCTTATTGCTACAAATGTTGAAGATTATAATGCGTATGTTAAAAAATTCTACTTGGATCGTTGTAAGTATATTGAACTTCCACTTCCACCAAATGGTTATACTTCAGGACGAGTATCATTACCTTATGCATCGATGGTTCCTGTAATAGGTGATGTTGCCTTACGGTTTCTCTCACGTTGTCATTCTATTGTCGTAACAGATCATAGTGCTGTGGTTCGACAATCAGAACTTAATAATGTAGATGAAATGTTCCTTAAGTATCTTTCTGTGCTTTTTCGTACAGTGGCTGAGTTATTGCAGAATCATTTAATGACAGTTCCAGAAAGGGGAGTCTTACAGTTTGCTGTTTTTGTAACATCATGTGCGACGATGAGTGTGATTCTCTCTTGTGTAGAACAACAGTTTTTTTTAGCATGGCCAAGTGATTATGGTGGAAGACGATGGGAAAAACTTGGGGAACCACGTCTTCTAGCTTCTTCTGCTGCACTTTTTGAGAAAGCGGTAGAGAAAGGTATAGACAAACTTCTCAATGCTTTTATTATGGAAACTGAAGATCGTTTAAAGCCGACGGCGGATATTGAATACTGGAAACGACTAATTGAGGTGCGTCGTGGTACAGTACAGGCCACTTCTCGTGTTGACCCTGAGAGTGGCGATACTGTGGAACGTGGATTTGTGGAGACGATGGAGTACATTATTGGAATGATCCCGCAGCTCTGTGCGGTGCTGCAGGTCTCTGTGGTGCGCAGTGTGCTGGGGACGGTGGTGGCCCACGTGTGTGTGACGCTGCAGGGGAATTTGGAGCGGGCGCTCGCCGGCGCTCTCGAGTCGGGCGGCGGGACGCGGGACTTTGCGGTGCTGCGGGGGTGCGTCTCGGAGTTCGTCGCGACGGCGGACGCCAACGTCCCCGGGTGGCAGCGACGCATCGCCGCGGCGGTTGGCGCGGGCCTTCCGCTCACCGCCCGCTTCCCGCTCGACCCCGTCGCCGTCGCGGAGGAACTCCTCGCGTGGATCTCCCGCCGGGAGGCCGCCGCCGGTCGACCCGCCGCGGGGTTGGAGGCCGCCGGGAAGTTTGTGGCCCGCGGGGTGGGGAAGGGCCTTCACGCCGTTGGGCAGACAGTCATGGGCGGCGCTAACGCCATTACAGGCAGACGCAACTCGTAATATGATATACCACAAGGAGTCTCTCTTTGTGTGTATTGGTGCGCTTTTTTTTTTTTTAATTTTTTCGGGTAGGGGTGCTGTCCTTCTTTTCTCCTGTATACTTTATACTCTCTGGTTAGTTTCTCATTCTCTCACTTTTTCCCTTTCTGTGTTCTTGTCTTTGTCTGTGTATGTGTAAGTCACAGTGTTTCAGTCAGAGTGCCTTTTCTTGGGTACTCTTTTCGTTGAAGAAGAAGAAAAAAAAAAAAAAAACATATCGACACTACCTTCTTTTCACAGATATTCTAAAGGGAAATATTATTGCAACAGGAGAGAGTAAAAGTGGGACATTGCGTATTCTTCTCGGTGATTGAAAGTAAAACAAATATTGAAAAATACATAGATAGATAGATATTAAGATACATTACAACATCTACATAGAGGAAAGTGAGATGAGTGTGGCCGAACGCTTACGTTCATTTAGGTACGTCACTAGTACACGTGAGATTCCATGGACACATTTACGCAGCATTGATGTTCCATCAAATCGCGTGAATGAACCAGATTTGCACTTAATGAAAAATGTAATTTCTCTTGTCTCAGACTGTAACCTTGCTACTGCTACTGCCCCAACTACTAGTTCAGCAGATGTATACCAACTTTTAAGTGTATTGCAGCTTGCCCTTCAATTCACTCTATGGTCACAATCTATACTTAAAGAGCAGTTGGTGGAAAAACAAAACAGTATCACGGTAAAGCAGGTTAACTCACAGCTTTTAGATACTTTGGAAGCAAAGTTAGAAGCGTCCCGTCGTGAGGCCGTTAAGCTTCGAGAAGAGCGTGATACTTTTGAGGTAACATGTCGAACTCTCGAGCATCGCCTCACACAATGTGAAACGACGATTCGTTGCCTTGAAAAGAATCTTGTGTTTGAGCAAAAACGGCTCCAGGAATCTCTGAAATATATTTCCACACAAGAGATGAAACATCAAGAGCAACAAAGGCAAGAAGGGCAACAGAAGAATGTGGAGAAGCTGAATCCCCCACTACAGAATCTACCTCATACCCGAGGAGAGTGTCTGCCAGATGAGGGATATGGTGATCATTCACATTCTCTACACGCAAAACACCACAAAAGACACTCGCGTCAATGTTGTTTGTTGAATAGTGACACTTCTGATTCTACGTCGTTTTCCTCACATGTTGCTGAGGTTCCACCACGGCGAGGTAAGAATCACCGTCGTGAAGATTTGTCAGCTCTGTTGAGACACCTCCGACAAGAAGAGAAGGGAGCGGAACAAGTACAACGACAAGAACAAGAGCAACCATTACAACAACAAAAGGAGCAATCATCTCCACCTTATGGTGATAGTTCCATAACGTTGGTGGGAGAAAAGATAGAAGATGATGTTATAAATACATTTCGCCGAGAGATGGAGGAATTACAGTCGCGTACAACAGCAACGTGTGATGCGATGCGTGAAACCCTTGAAAATGCGGTTACAAACAATCTGCAACGTACTGAGGCTATGATTCGGCGTGTGGAGGAATCTGTTGAGAATCTTAAAGCATCTCTGGTAAAGGAGCAGGCAGGGGAATTGCAGAGTGTTAAGAGTTTTCTTACGCAGTGGCAAACGGATACTCGGGCAGCACTAGAAGCGTCTGTGGTAACTATGATAAATCAGATAAAGACAGAGTATGCGCAAGAAAAAGAAAGAGAACAAGAAAAACAAAACCAACAACAACAGCAACAACAATCATTAATACCATCTTTCTCTACAATTCCTCCAGTCCTGACTATTTCTCAGGATGTTATCAAAGAATCAACGTGTCAACACTGCCGTCAGCGTATTCCTGTAAAACAACTTGACGCACATGAGGAGGAATGTGAACTACGTCTTGTGAAGTGTCCACAATGTGGAAATTCTGTTGTTGCACGTCTCCTCTCTAAGCACAAATGCTCTGGTGGGACAACTAGTGAGACTGGAACTCCTGAGAGTGCAACACTCTTACGAGCTTCGTCACTAATGCTACAGGAAACACAAAGAGAATTACAGCAACTGCTGGAAGAAAATAGTGAAGAGGCCTCATCATATGAAACTCCAGTTTAGTTTCAAAACGTCATTGTACAGTTAAGAAACAGGAAAAATAAAAAGTATTTGAGAGAACTTTATTAATGACATCAGTAGATAAGAAAAAAACACTGATTTTTTTTTTTTTCTGAAGATGTTTCATTTGAATAAAAAAAAGTTCTTTTTTTGTTTGTAAGTTTCACTTTATTTCCTTTTTTTGTTTCTCATTTCCATTGATATTCTACCAATACTGACTCTCTACTACATAGAATAAAACAACCAGATTAACGATAAAGTAAAAAAAAAAAAAAAAGAAAAGGTATTCAAGATGTCTTCAGCAGACTTATTTAAAAAATTCACATTGCAGAATGTTGCACAAATTGCGAACAGTAATAATAAAGAACAAGCACAAGTACGCAGAGACTTGGCAGAGCAGTATCCATTATTGGCAGATTACTGGGAAGATATTATCCCTAAAAAATCTGATATTATGCTGGTACGTTGTCATGATCATGTACACTGTGTTACTCTCGTCAGCGCACAACCAGAAGTTCTATTCTTTAGCCACCACAACGGTCCATACATACCTCATCTAAAGCTGCTTCACAAGTATCCATTTATTCTCCCACGACATCAGGTGGATATCGGTGGTTGTAAGTATATCGTTTCGGGGGCGAATGTCATGTGTCCAGGGCTTACTTCTGCAGGTGGGAGCATCACACCAGATCTTGCTGCTGGTCAGATAGTTGCCGTACATGTGGAAAGCAAAGAACACGCAGTGGCAATAGGAAAGATGCTTATGTCATCTGATGATATTGTAAAAATAAACAGTGGCCCGTGTATTGAGAATATACATCACCTTGGTGATGGTTTGTGGATGAATCGTGTGCTAAGTTCCTCACACATTGGGGCTAAATAAGCGGTATCCGTGTAAGTGAACTGATAAAGGAAAGCCAAGAAGAAAAAAAAAAAGAAGTAGTGCTTGGAGATATCCGATAAACCCATTCACTTCTCTCATAAAATGGATACATATGAAAAAATTTTGGACTGTTCTTGTTATTATTGTTGTTACTTTCTGGTGTTATTTTTCTACCTTATATTGTGTACAAGTGTATCTCTGCGTGTGTACATGTGTTTAAATCTCTCTCTCTCTATCTGTTTTTTTTTTTTTTTTTGTTGGCTTCTTTTATTAGAGCTTTGAAAGTCCACAGGAATTTTTAGTATGTGATGAGACGTTGCGGTGTGTGCTGTTTAAAGTACTTGCGTGGGTCTAAAGTCGCGTACGGTGGTTCTGTGGCTTCTCTCTTGGAGAATTATCTTCAGAGCGGTGGGGAAGCTCATGCCGCTAACTTGCCTGCATCACAGAAGTACTTCTATATACAGAAGGAAAAACAAAATCAGCATCATGATCCTCAGATTTCACAAAAACATCAGATGGTTCAGCTTCGACTTGGTTGTGCACAAATGTTAACTTCTACGTCCGGAAACATTGCGAATCACAATGAGGCGCATCCGTTATTTTATTCTCAAACAGCTCCACGTGAAGCAGGACTTTGCGTTTCTCTTGTTTTGGCGTTAAAAAAACTTAAGATAAGAAAACTTACAGAATTGCAGGGTGCTTTGATTCCTATGCTTCTTAAAGGTAAACATATTATTGCTCACGCCGAGACAGGTACAGGAAAAAGTTTTGGTATTGCACTTGCATGTGCTAACAGGATAGTTCGACAAAATATTAATTACCGTCTACATACTGTTATTTTTGTTCCTACAGAGGAACTAGCATTACAGTATGATAAATGGTTACGTCACTTTGGTGGATCTACCTCGCAGGTAGTTCAAGTAGCTATTGAAAAAATTCCACTTGAAACACAGTTGGCAAAAATTCACAATATTCAACCTCATGTATTGGTAGGTACTCCGCAACGAATTGCTGATATTATACGTCTTAGTCCCACTATATTGGGAGAGAAATTGCGTCGTAAAGTAGATTGTGTAATTTTAGATGAAGCTGATTTAATTCTTTCATCTGAAGTAAAACTTGGACGACATGTGATTAGTGGAATTAATTTGGTGGACCGTTTATTCCGCAGCCGACCTGAAGAAGTACCAGCACAGCTAGTTGCTGCAAGTGCTACTATTGATGGTCGTACTGCACAAGCCCTTAATACATGGATGCGAAACGATAAGGCTGTACGTTTGACCACAAGCTTTGTTGAACACACTATTCCTCAGACAATTAGTTTTTACTTTTATGCTGAGTCTAGTAGGTATCCATTACCGAAATGCTTAGAATTGATCATTCGTTTGATATGTCGCCATGAACCCAAACCCCGTATTCTCGTCTTCACCACTGACGATGCCGTTGAGGAGGTGTCGCGGCTGCTGAACACACTCGGCACGACGGCCGCGGAGGTGCGGCGGTGGCTGCAGGAGTCCCCGGACCGCACAGTCGCCGCGCCGCTGCAGTTACGCGTGGACGTCAACGGCGGCCGTCGCGGCCCCATCGTCGCCGGCGATCGCGATGTGTGCGTTCGGGACGACAGTTCGGTGGCGCGGCTGGTCGGCGGGCGGCTCCTCGCGGGTGTCGGCGGCCACGCGTTAAGTCGCGGGCTGCACGTTGGCGGCATCACGCATGTTGTGCTCTACGGCCCGTGTCCGCCGGCGGCCGCTTTTGTGCACTGCGCCGGCCGCACGGGCCGCATGGGAGCCGCCGGCGATGTTGTCGTCCTCCACCCGCCCACCGCCGCCCGCGCCTTGCAGGCCGTCTGCAGTGCCCTCGAACTCCCCTTCACACCAGGACGCATGGAAGACGTGGAACAGCTGCTGATGCTGCCCACGTAAAGAACAAGAACAACAAGAGCTATCACCATGGGGTGCCGTTCTTTCTGTCCGTTTACGTCGTTTTTTTTTTGTTGTGTATACAGGAATGTTGCTCTTCGCACCTACATAAAACCAAAATATTCTCTTATATATATATATATATATATATAATATTCTCTCTATCTGTCACTCTATCTATTTCTTACTCTATATGTCAATCTCTGTCAAACTCTTTCTTTCTTTTTTTTTGTGTATTTCCTTATGTTATCTCCTTTTTTGTCATAGGATTGGCTCTTGCGTGGAGTGTGTCAAACCATTGTCATTCTGTGCTATTTATTACTGGGAAAAACTCTGGGACGGATTGTAGCTGTTTGTTTTGTTCTTAACTTGTAATTGAGATGCCGTTATGGCGGAGTTCATGATGCGTGAAGAAAATAACGGATTTCTAGGGTACAGTCCAAGAGGAGGAGAAATCGCCAGAGATACTATTAATTACTTTATCCCACCTGCGTACACTAGACAGCCGTTGCCTCTTCAGGAAACACGAGCATATTATACGGTTCATAAGGACGTCAACACCGAAACCGTGATTCCCCCACCAAGAGGTTCTCTTGGGATTTTCACGAATGAAGACAATATTCATGACACAAAGCACAACCTCCTTATGTCGCTACTTGGACAACCAGAACACCTTCATAGTGCGCAGACCACAGTACCACAAATAGGGGATATTATTTCTTCTCGTCTTTGTGGTTCTCACTGTGATGCATCTTTTATAGAGGATTCCCAACTCTTGGTGCAGTTGATTTCTTGTATTTTGTCTGGTCAAGGGTGTCCAAAAGAAGCAGGTTTTGAACGTATAACGAGTATAGACTTAAGTCACACCGTACTAGGCGTTGTTGGCTCTCGAAAATCTCCTTACTATGCTTATAAGGACGGCAATCCAATTCCGAGAATTAACGGAAGCTGTACCAGAGTTCTTCCATTCTTTCCTAACGGAATACATATAGGTGATAAAAGAAAAAATAGTAAAAAAGAGGATACTGCTTATTGTAGCCTTGCCTTTGCGTATATATCTCCATTGTTATGGATCCTAGGTGAGACTCGTTTCAACATCACAGAACTTACATGTCAACATTGCTGTTTGGGTGACCATGATGCGAAGGCACTGGCCTTTATTCTTCGCAAGCGCCATTCTAGAAGAAATGTGTGCGTTCTGGAACGAATAGACTTTTCATTGAACAACATTACGAATGTTGGTGCTGAAGCACTTAAAAAAGCAGTTAAGTATAACAAACACGTGAAAACACTGAATCTTATCGGAAATGAAGGTATCACAGACATTCGAATTCTCGAAGTGATAAAAAAGCGTCTTGAGCGCAACAAAGAGGGTCGAAGCAATTTAAATTATTTTCAGCGACTGAAAAGGTGGCTAAAGGGGAAATAGAGATGTGGGGAACAAAAAAAAAAGCTACTGATATGATTTGCTCAAACGATACGTTCAATCATCGAATTAACTTATGTCGCCTCTCCTTTTTTTTTTATTGCGCAATAAAGCAGTTCAGCTTTGGTTCCTCTTTCTCTTTCATTATCACAAGAGCTCCAATGACTTCTTCTTATTAATTTCTTCATATTATTCGTGCTAATGTTATTGTTGTTCTTCTTCTTCTTACTATTAGAAGTGGTTCTTGTTGTTGTCTTACTATCTTACTTGTGATTTAATTATCAAATACTCCCTAGAAGAGAATTGATCATCCTACTACTAGAGGATGTCACACTCAGTGGATGTGGTGCCGTTGCCAGAGGCCCTCCGACGCATTATCCATATGGACGATTGTAGTAGCTCTAAACCAGAGGAGATACAGGAAAAGGGGGAAAATACAGAAGGTCAAGAAGATGAACTTTCAGTTCCACTAACGGTGTCGCAACTACTTGATCTTGTACATGCCATTAAGCAAGAATACATGCAGTTGGTGGCTAATGTAGCAAAAGCATCTGTGAATAATGACACAACGTTCTCCTTGTCAAATGTTCAAGAACAACTCAAAACAATGGCAGGTCCTATAGCAGCGTTACAAAGAGGCATTCGAAGTAAAAATGCACAATGTGTACGTATAGAGTTACGTGCATACCTTGCGAATGAAGTAGAATCACGACGAAGGGCACTCTCACGTATGGGGGCGGCTCTCAGCATTGCAAAACAGAGCGTTTAATAATATGCACTACACAATATTACTCATATTGTTTTTTCTCTTCCATGTTACCCAAAAAGATACCCATTTTATCTAAACATTTTTTTATGTTTTTTATTTTATCTTATTTTTTCCTTTTAATTGATTGGTTTCTATAACTATAGAAAAAAAAAAAAAAAAAAATACACATTGCACAGACAGCAGCAATGAGGGGAGCACATGTGTATCTTGACTCACCCAGCACACCCAACTCTCTAAGCGCCAAAGAAATAAGGTCTACGCACCCGCTAGCCTCCCATCTTGGTACTGGACTGGGAAGCTGTCCGAATGCTGTGAGCCCGATGCCAGAGGCCTCACAACGACACGTGTCGGAGTTTGATCTTGCTGCGTACGGCAAGGATGAGTTCACCGCGTCTATGCAGAAAAATGTCATGGGACGTATGTTTTCGGCTTTTGACGTGACCCAGAAGGGCTACTTGGAAACAGATAAGATTGAGGAGATGTGCAAATACATTGGACGCGATATGAGTGCGGAAGAGGTGCAACAGATGAAGGAAGAAATCAATGCCATTGATGGGCACATTACGTTTGAAAAGTTTTGGAGCTGGTGGATGTCGCACCCGGAGGGATCATCAAGGAAAAACTGTTTTTCAACTGTCTCTGCTGATTTTTCCGTGCCGTATCACCAACAGCAGCTCTTAACAAGAGAGGAAGGCGAACTGTACACGCCGAGCTACCGCGTCCTCTTCCACTTCAAAGACATGGAGACAGGGGAGACGCGGCAGGTATCACCGTGGCACGACATTCCACTCTACGTGCGTTCGCTGGTGAGGACGAAACCCGAGACGGCACCGATGAATCGCTACAACTTCATCTGTGAGATCCCCAAATGGACTCGTGCGAAGTTTGAGATCGCCACGGGGGAGCCATTCAATCCCATTAAGCAGGATATCAAAAACGGTGTCCCGCGCTTCTACAAGCATGGCGACATGATGTGGAACTACGGTGCGATGCCGCAGACGTGGGAAAGTACTGATGTCATCTTCGAAGGCGGTGTCCACGGCGACAACGACCCGATCGATGCCATTGAGATTGGCATGTCGCAGCTGAGGGTTGGGCAGGTGGAGGCGGTGAAGGTGCTCGGTGTTCTTGGGATGATTGACGACAACCAGATGGACTGGAAGGTGATATGCATCTCACACAACGACCCCATATGCCGCTTTCTGAAGGATATCCACGATGTGCCGAAGTTCCTCCCTGGGTGCCTCGATGCCATTCGTGAGTGGCTCCGTGTGTACAAGATCTGCCAGGGTGGTGTGGAGAATAAGTTTGTCTTCGATGGAGAGTTCAAGGGCAAGGAATTCGCAATGAAGATTATTGACGAGTCTCATTACATGTGGGGTAACCTTCGAAAGATTAACCGAAAAGATAGTGTCTGAGGAACAACATCGAGTGGGATGCCATGAGAAGGATACATGCAGCGAGGCGGTAATAAGAATAAACGCTAAAGACGTGGAGGGATGACCACAAGGGGTGTTTGCTAATTTTGTTTCTCTTATTGCATTCATTGGGCGTAGTAGGCGGTATGCTATCCAATTCGTCCTGCTTTTTTTTTTTTTTTTCTTCTTTTGTTATTGCGACTATTAGTTTCATCGCTAAGAAAAGTTGTTTTTCTCTTTTGAGGTTTTT